GATGCAAGAGCATTAGAATTTTGAAATAAAATTCATTCACAGATGTACTGATTGCAAATAAACTCTAAAAGGCGCTGAAAATGAACTACCCATTGAGTTCTCATTACGAGAGGATTCAACTGACTTGTGGGCTGTAAACGTGTGAATGGCCAGTAGTAACTTCAATCCGATTCCTATTTCAAACGCCTCGAAGGAGGAAGAATGTGAAAAAAACGCTCTCTTGTCCATTTCCAGATAAACATATTTTCAAATTCGCGTTAAAATAATAAGTAGGCTAAAGTTGTAGATTGCACATCGGCACCAGTATATTCAAAGACATTAAAACAGAGAGCCATCCTGATGAACACTTCATCATGAATGATAGGCAGGTTTGTAGGAAAGACTTGATCGGTTTTTGACACGTAGGTATGGAGTCTAGTGACTGGCAATCCAAGGAGTATAGTACTACTCTGTAATTTAAGTAGTATATTTGGTAAAGTAAATAGGCACCATTCAAGTTTTGTGCATAGTCTACTATTTTACAAATGGTAGAATTTACTAGAAAATGATTCGATTAAGGTGATTTGTGAACAATAGTTAATAGGGTTTTCATCCCCCGTTGTGTTTTTATTGACGAAGATTTGTTGCAACTTGTGTCGCCAAGATTAGATCTTGGTTGTTACAAATTTTGAAGGGTTTGCTTTTTCTAACAGCATTGTTTTAATATCGACACAACAAATGGAACGTCGAATTTGACCCAACTTCCCACCTACTTGCGAAAAGTATTATGCGTGATACTCAACTATGCCCCAGATAGAGCAAGTGTTGCCGCATTTAGCTGGTTTCCTGAATCTGTATGGAGGAAAGTAACCCTGTCCTACAGTCACTCAGGTCTAATAATTTAGGATGGAAGTCCGTGACAAAGTTCCATGGATTAGTTAAAGGATTCTCAGTATCCCTTCTTTAAGCCGTCGATTGCTTGTTGGAAAAAGGAGAATCCATTTTGCTAATGCAAATTGTGTGAGACACCTCCTGTTTCGATTTCATCGTGTTACACTGGTGGTAGCAATATGGGATGGATGTTGTGCCACAACTTTACAAAAGAAGGGCATCCGCTTTGAAAGGCAAAATCTGCTAAGTGCCTTTAGATAATTGCCAGTGAAGTCATAGCCACTTTTGTCGAATGCCAACTCTCAGGCTCTGAGTCATGACCAGCAACTAATTCATAACAACATTTAGTGATAAATATTATTCCTTCATATAAATGCATAACACGCTTGCGGAACGATAAGGGAATTATTGAATTGACTCTATCTCAGATAGTTGACTGGATCACGATGGAGCGGTAACGACGTGGACCGGGAAAGTAAAATTAGGTCGTAGTTTTAAGAAAAATTTATGCCATGCACATATCTTTCTGCAAAAGCAAACGATTCCCTTAGCCGTTGCTAACAGGTAAAATGCGAAATGCTTACCTTCATCGCCACACTCTAACTGCATTAAATTACGCAAAAAACATCATTATCATTTGAATGGAAAGTCTTCTCATTAAGTCTGAAACATCCCGCTTTTGTGTTCATGCTACAGTGCTTGTCATTCACGTCGACTACTTGCCACCACGCCTTATTTGATTGGTACAGCTGGGAGTACATGAACAAGTCACAGTCAAACAGGCGAAAACAAACAAGCAAATGCGGCTTAGAGAATTGCGGTGATTGTTTGCATTCCGACACAGTAATTACTGCACTTTGTTTTCCAGGCGCCTCCGTCACACCCAAATCGAGTGGTGCCACCCGAGAGCTGATGGAAGGTAGGAGTGGGTACCAGACCAGTCGCGTTTTGATTGGCAAGTAAGAGTTAAGCCTTTTGATTCCTTACGTCAGCAGTCATCACATTCAAACCTCAATATGGTTGGTTAAGGGGACAAAATGGAGTGCATAGAAGGGACCAGCCTAAATTTACAAGCCATTAGAATATTTCTACCGGAATAAAGGCAGAAGAAAAGTAAAGAAGTAAAAGTACAATTGGAATCGTGGTGGTAAGCACGAGAATGCGAAGACCGAAATGAAGAGATTTGCACCAATTACGAAGTCACTAAATTTTAAAATCCAATTACTTTCACATGATTGTTAAAACCGGACGTATGCGAATTGATACTCGTTTTAAACTTCAGTGGTTACAAACAGGAATTTATTGAAGCCTCCATGCAAATGCTTTGCTATTCATTCACTCGTACACATCCACCTCATTCGTTCTTTCATTCGTAACCTGATTTTAGACTACAAGGATTCCGAAGAATACTCTACTGGTCACATCACTTCATGCAAATATGCGTGAGCATCTCAGGATGTTCAACAGCGTGCCTTATCACAACGTTAAAATGTGGCTCACTCCATTTTAAATGACCTTCTCACTATATACAAGCAATCATTTCAAAATACGTGGTTTGGGCTATCCCGGTTGTCGCTTTAAATGATTTTACATTCCACGGACAAATGGCGAATAAGTCACCAACTGGGGTCTCTCGCCTACATTGCTCATCATCGTTAATGTTACCGATAGGTTATGGGGTGTCCACATCAAGGTTGGCTAATTGGGTGTCCACACCATACTGACCCGCCGCGGAGGTACCACCCCCATCTTTTAATAGTGCTATGAGGAAATTGTGTCCAAGTCCGTTATGGTGCACAAATTCTTTACCATTCAGTCTTTTATTATGTCATTACCCCTAGCAATAATGATATATGTGCTCCTGAACGAAGTCGGAGTAATCCAAAAAATAAAAGTGGTTGCCAAAACAATAGACCCAGCTGGGATTGGCGTAATTGTTTGTGTTATACAAAATGAAAGTCTACCATTTGTGTAAAAGCAGATCTTTGAGTTCGCTTACTTGTTAGAATACAACATTTAGAGGAAGGCAGCAAATCGAAGGCATATTGACGTCATGTAAAACCTGGAAGGCACCCCTGGCTTCAACATGCATCCACCCAGCTATTAATGATATTTGACCCCAGTGGTGAAGTTGACTGGCAGTTTTACATTAACCCTCCGTGCAAATGTCGCTACCACTTTAGGTTTTAGCTCCTGAATTCCACGATAAGCCATTTATTAGCGCAAAGGTAAATTAGAGGACTCCATATTTGCAAGTGCACTGTTTTGGCATTGCAACCCAAACTTTGAAGAACCGCCATTCCTGACTACATTAACCATACTTTCCCACTGGATTTCATCCAGTTGCCTTCTTAAGACCATCCTTATTGGCCGCAAGCACGAGTACTTAACCGACTTCCTTCCAATGAACAATGTCATTTGGCCATGAGAAGAACCAATTCATGAACAAAAATGTTAAAGCAAACATGCAGTACGCTACCTGACTCCGAATTGCTGCGGTAAATCAACCGCTTTTTTCTGGTTTTCTACTTGACTATTTCTGATGGAGACAGCCAAGGCAGTAAGGAGGGTACCAGCAATCATGAAATACTTTCCTAACTCACTACTTGGGCTTTATAAGTATCACGATACTACCAGTCATAAGCTGATATGTTGGCACTTCTACACTGCTGTATTTCCACCAGCCCCGATTCAAAATGAAGCTGACAATCCTGCTTACACCAAGGCTCAATCACAGGCATGCTCAAACCGAAGCCTGCATTATGCGCCACTGCCGTTGTGTGTGCAGTCGCCAGCTAATGAGAAGAAGTACTAAAGAGTGGCACCTCTCGGTTGGATAAAAAAAATTCTACTAGATAGCGCGCATCGTGGATAGGTTGAGTAGGATTGGTTGCAGTTGATATAAAAGGTTGCGGCAGCCGTGGTGGTCATCATTATTTGACACAACGCTTCAGCGCCTCTACCCCACACGAAGCCATGTCAGCAAGTCCTGCTATCGGCATTGACCTAGGAACTACCTTTTCCTGCGTCGGTGTTTTCCAACACGACAGGGTGGAGATCATAGCCAACAGTCAGGGTAGCCGCACAAAGCCAAGTTATGTGGCCTTCACAGACAAGGAACGCCTCATCGGTGAAGCCGCAAAGGCCCAGGCTGGCACAAACCCCACCAATACGGTGTTCGATGCAAAACGTCTGATCGGCCGCCGTTACGCCGACGAGGCAGTGCAGGATGATATGAAGCACTGGCCCTTC